ATACTCCTAAGCTTTGACCCGACCCGATAACCCCCTAAGCTTTTGAAAATTACGTTAATACCCTTTATTTTTTCGAAAAGTTTCTAAACTACCATTGTTGTTAGAGGGTGAACGGAATGTCCACGTTGCTGTTAGAGAGTGGACGGAACAACATAGAAAAAGAAAGCGTAGAAAATTTGGAAGAAAAGACGTTTCGTCGTTTCCGAGAAGGATTAGGTCAAAAAAAAAAAAAGGGAGTGGTAGCTCGTTTCTTCTTTTTTTTCTTGGAAATTTTATAACGCTCTGTATCTATGCTTGTACTTGATAGATGGAAAATTTATGACGTTCTATATTTACGCTCTCGATACACGACTTTAGATATTTCATTATTTTTTTTATTTAAAATGAACCTAAATCCTCGAAGGTGCCACTTTATAGAAAATCTACTCTATTTTAGTTCGGAACTTAATTATTATTTATTTGGTTCGGGAGTTTTAGAGCGTCTTACTGGTATTTTTATTATTTATATAAATTTTAAAAAGTATTTAATATATTTTAAAATTTTTTATCTTTTAGTTTTTTTTTTTCATAAAATTAAAAAATAAAAAATTTATCATATATTTTAAAAATTTATAAATATATTAGATACCCCTTTTTAAAAATTAACACACACGTCGTCTACGATTGCATGTTCAATCGTCTGCGACACATCCGACTTGCTTCTAAACTAAGTTAAGTCATTCGGCTCAACTTTGTCTCTGCTCGAGACCAAAATCTCTCAATGCAACATCGCATCTCATCTTGTCATCTTGATCTCGATCTCCATCGATATGATCCATATGTCTTGACGCCATCTCGAGTCTCGAGATGTTGTCAGCCATCACAACTTGTTTGGTCATGCCATCGAGAACGGGCCCGCGTGTCGCTCATCTCATTGGGACTTCCCGATCATCCATCCATCCAGGTTCTATCGAGGCATTGATCTTCTCATGCCCATGTCGTGTCATTTACGGATACCGTGCCGGATAGCAGGTGTATGTAGCAACCTCCAACACGCGGGCTAGGGCGCAATACCGATACACCCGTGCCACCCGTACAATTTTTGAAAAACCCATTTCAAAGGAAGCCTCGACACACTCGCCTATACTGTGACACACGAATGTGCAAGATAGCTCACTTAGGCAACAATATTTGAGTTCTAAAGTTAAAATTCAAACAAAATTTTGAAAATTTTTATTATTATTTTTTAAAAAACTTACCTTATATGTAAAAAGTAATAACAAATAAATATTAAAAAAAATCCATAAATAGTATTTTGTTCGTATAGGTTGGTTTTAAAAAATTATTAATATAAAATTGACACGTATATAGAATTAGTGTAACTCTCGTGTCCAGGATTTCGAATATAAAATTCACACATGATGACACCGACATCCCCCGACACATGATCACGTTACCTAATTATCTGTAACTTCGAGGCTTTGGACTACGATTTAGAATCCAAATTCAACACCCGATGGCTCTGAGTTTGTAATGATAAAGATTTTGTAGTTTAAATTAATATATTTATGGTGATCAATTAAAAAGATTCTTTTGTCATAGCTGACGGTTCATAGTGATGAAATTTTTGATTCTCGAACCATATTTTAAATTTTTTTTTAAGATTTAAGAATATTAATGAAATTTTTGAAAATTTAAGAATATATATATATTTTTTTAGAGAAAGAACTAATTTAATTTTATTCGGATATTATATTTTTAAAAATTATTACAAATTATATAGTTTTTTAATAAAATAAAATAGAGATAATGTGTGTATTTGGTAGGGCAATTAATACACTTAAATTTCCAATATCTATATTTATTTCCAAATAGCAAATAGTATCCAATAAAAGGGTGACACGTGGCAAAGGGTTAATTCAAATTAAGACGGTTCTTAACAAAAGCCGCACCGACTCACTCCCCACTTCACCTCTACAAAGCAAATTTGAAATTCCCGAAAAGCGAAAACCCTCCATTTTCCGTCTCAAGCCGCCCTTTCCTATCCCCTCTTCTCTCCCTTCAAAACCCCATTCAAAAAACCCTATCTTACCCAGCCGCAATCCTTTCAAAATCCTTTCAAAATCGCAGAACAATGGCGAAGAAGAAGCCCACGCGATCGGGGAACGAGCCCAAGAAAGTTCCGGATCATCAGGAGGAGAATAGAGATTCAGAGCAACAACTCAAATCTGCTGTGGATGAATCTGTGGAGAAGTCTCAGTTGCAGAGCTTGAAATCGTTGAACGAGCGCCTTTTGAAGGAGACACACGAGAAGAGAAAGGAGTTTGGAGCTCTGGTTCAGGCTAAAGAGGGTTTGGAGCTTGACTTGAAGAAGAATGCTGATGAGAAGAAACAGGTAATGTGTGAGTTAAGTGTGGCGTGTGATGGTGTTTCTGGCTTAGAACTAGAGAAAAATGTTGTTCATGTTTATTTACAGACTCAAATGGAGGAGATGGGAGGGGTTATCTGTAGGTTAGTTGAGAGTGAGAGAGAGAAGAATGTGGAGATTGGGAGATTGAAAGGTGAGAATAATGGGCTTGTTTTGAAGGCTGAGGAAGAGAGGGAGAAATGGATGAAGGTTTGTAGTGAGAGGGACGGGATTAAGGCTGATTTTGATGGATTGTTTGAGGAAACAGGGGATTTGAGAAGGAAAATGGTTGAAATGGAGAAGAATGAGAGAAGGGCTTTGGAAGAGATTGAGGATTTGAAGGTGAAATGCAAGAAGTTGTCGGGTGAAAAGATGGAGAGTGAGATTACGAATGGGACTCTCTTGAAAGAGAAAGAATTGGTTAAGAGATTATTGGATGAATCCGGTAGGGTTATTGAAGATTTAGAGAGGAAAGTTGATTTGAAAACGAAGGAGAAAGTAGAGATTGAGAAGGAAAAGAAAGCTTTGGAAATGGAGATTGAGAGGTTAGGGAAGGAAGTGGCTGAGCTGAATGAGAGTTCGTTCTGTCTCAAACAGGAGAAGGAAGAGAATGGGAAGGCAATTTCTGAATTCGTGAAGATAATAGAAGAAGCTGTGGAGAAAGAGAATGGTTTGTTACTGGAGGTTGATGGTTTCGTGAAAGAGTTACATAAGAAGGAGAAAGATGTAGAGATGTTAACTCAACAGAGGGATTCGGTTAATGTGAATCTGAATCGAGTCGAACAGGAGGCGGTGAGTTTACGACGCACAATCGAGATAATCACTTGTGAGAAAGCTGAAATGGAGGAGGCAAAGATGGAAGCGGAGAGTATTGTTGAGGACTTGCGAAGGGAATCGAGTAAACTAAAAGAATCCGTGACTTCTTTGACTGAGTCGAGCGGTGTCGAGAAAGCAAGAAATAAGGAGTTGCTGTCTCAAATGGGTTGTCTTCGAGAAGCTCTAAACGGAGTTTCGTTAGAGAGAGATAAGCTTGGTTTGTTGCTCGAGGACAAGGAGAGGAGGATTGAAGAAGCTATGGCTGAGCTTGAGAAAACGAAGACAGCATGGGTGGAGTCGATGAATGTAGCGAAGGAGAGGGAGAGGCGGATCGAGGTCTTGGTTGGGGAAAGGGATCGGATGGAGAAAAGCTTGCTAGAAGCGGAGAGTAGGATTGATGAACTGAAAGGGAAGGTGAAATCAGCTGTTGATAATTCAGAGAAGGCTTTGGCATTGTTGAAGGAGACTTGTTTGAGTGTGTGTGATGGTTATGAGAAGGAGGAAGGGAAATCAAAGCCATTTGTTGAACACTTGGATGCAATCAAAGCATCTTTCATGAACAAGGAGAAAAAGATGGGAGAAATGAAGCAGTGTTTCGAGACGGCCCGAGCGGAGGAACGGAAGAAGAAGAACTTCTTCACGTTGGTTACTGCTGCAACGACCATCTTGGCTGCTATGTCTGCTGCTTATTTTAGCAGAGGCCGAGGCTGAGACCGAGGCCGTGGCCGAGACCAAGGCTGGGGCTGGGGCTGTGGTTTTGTAGGCTAACCATCTGGTGGATCAATGTTGAATTGCTGATTTGGTAGTGTTAATGAGAACTAATATGATGATATAATAGTATAAAGCTTTGAGAATCATTTGAAGTACTCTTTTATGCAATAGGGGAAATGGGAGATGAGCAATATTGAAAATTCAATATGCTTTTTAATATTTAAGAGTTCTTGAAGATTTGAAAGGTTTATATTATTTATGATGCTAGGATCGATGGCCACTTGAATGTACGATGAATACGATAAGGGGATAAAAGGTTTATTTTTCACTCCTTTTAATAGATGCACTATTTTCTTAAATAGAAAACTTGTTTTCGAGAACACTAGGAGAAGATTAGAAAATTCATTCCTACTTTCCAATGACTCCACAACTCCTCGTTGAAAACGCCATTTTTCTTACATTTCAAGGCAAATTTTAGACGACAACAATATATATATTCTAGTATAGATATCTATCGGGTGGGGGGAAGAAGAAAGAATAATAAATAAAGTGATAAAAAGATTTATATATATATATATCTATACACATATAGGCCATATGGGACGATGATGCCTCGTCTCACGTCTCCGGTATATATTACTTTATCTTTCGTTTAGTATTATTAACTAATTATTATATTTGTGATTAAATGTATGAAAAAAACTAATATCCATAGCTACAATAAGCAATATATTGTTATTATTAGTAGTAAGTACAATATATCAATGTGAAAATAAAAGTAAATATATTAAAACTAAAACTATTTTTTAATTAAAAAAAAAAAAGGGTCCGTACTAAAGAACGAAATGTTTATGTTTATGAAGTTTCAACTAGAAATTTTTTTATGTTGGCATAAAATAATTATTTTCAAACACAATTATGAAATATTGTGCGTAATGATTTAAATAAAATAACTTATAAACATAAAATTTATAATAAATATATGAAATAATTACCTTAATTGAAAATATGTATATTAGGAAAGAAGTAAATTATGTAAGTAAAAATAATTTACCAAGTATCATGAAGGTAATTACCACGGATAAGGTAAGATGAACTCCAACTGCACAGAGAGTCTTTAAGACTCAATAATTTGATACTCAATTGAAGTCCCTGTGCTACATATGGAACTCCAGACGACGTCTGCAAGTGAAACTCAACCCGAACCTTAAAAATGGTAATCACAGTTAGCGATATGAGAACGATGGACCAGGAAATGAGTATCTCGACGAAACTGGCATTATATCGCTCTCCACATTTACGTGATGCACCTGATTGTAATACGGTAGAGCACGAGCAGCATGACTCATGGACTCAGTTTCAGCAACGTAACTTCTTGAATACATTGGAGCAGCAGCTTCCTCTCTCGTTGATGGAAGCAGATACGGGACGATCGATGAAAGGCCATATTGATGAGTGTAAATTGGATCATAGGCAGGTCGTTCCAAACCGCTACCAGATATTGCCCGTGATATTTGAGATCTAGAATCAATACTGTAAACTGGATAATCTTTTCCATTAAAGTGTACGTGATCCGATCGAACCACTTCTCTCTGTGGCTGCTCTAGATGTCTTAGTTGATAGTCCCTATCATGATCTCTGTGGTATGTTTCTAAATAAGGCCGTGGCAAAGGCACAAGATCTAAATTTCTTCTTTCTACCTGAAGACCATAAGTTCGATAGTCCTTTTCGCTTACGTGCAATTCGCGAGGAACATCCTCTCTATGTCTAGGTGCCTCCTCTCGGTGTCGGTCCCGTCCATGAGATGACGATTGATCGTTCCTGGCATCACCCTTGGACTTAGAATTCCTAATCCGAGTGTCTTCGACTTTCCTATGAACTTTCCTATCCCTAATTGGCACCTTTGGAAGGAACCCAATAGTAGCCGATCTCGAGAGGAGTCCTAGTGGACGGAAAAGTGCTGAGAGCTTCTGAACCTGAGATACGAAATCCTACAATGTAATCAAAGGAAAAATACAATAAAACAGTGCTATGAATAAGCCAAGCTAGCAGTAAGAACCTGACACATCCACCTGTTTAACAGAGAGTTCAACTTTGAACTTGTGCTTCTCAAAATAGTTCTCTTGGATGGCATTCTTGAAAATGCTCTCAGCTAGTGGAAAACAATCCTTGTAAACATTGAACCGCACCTGAAATTTTAGTTTGGAATTGAAACAATATCATAATCAGATGAAAAGACTATCTTCTGAATAGTTTATATAAGTAATGAAGCTGAAACCTGAGCAGGGAAAGCTCCATTAAAAGCCTTTGGCTCGAGTTTCATGCCACCCGAAGAAGATGCCTTATAGATCCCATACAGAAGCCTGAGATCAAAATCATAAAGGAATAGGTTTAGCCCGGGTTTGATTGCTAAGACGGTATCCTTTCTGCCAGCAGAAACACCCATTATGTTGTAGTGAAAACAATCTGGCTTCGTTTTCGCACTGCACATGAAAATCAATCCGCCGAGATTTTCTTCGTTCTTATCTTCTATTCGACTCATTTGAGCTCTATCCTTTTCTTTCCTTTTATGATTCTTTAATCTCTTATCTGAAGAGCCAACCTTCTCAATATTGTTCTGTTCCTTGATGCTATTTTTGAACTCGGAATTGTTTCTATCGCTAACAGATGTCTCTTCACCCTTCTCGATATGCTCCGCTTTTGAGATACTTTCATTAGCATTTGCCTTTTTGTCAGGCTTCACGGTATCTTCTACATTCTTTTCATTACCTTTCCCATTTTTGGTATCTTCTACATTCTTTTCATTACCTTTCCCATTTTTATTAGTCTTCATTTGGCTGCTCGCTGGAGATTTCTTTACGATTTTTCTTTTCACCTTCAAAGCTTTAGTAATCTTCTTCGTCTTTGACTCTGGTTTGCTGGAATTTTCAGTGGGATTCTGAGCTTCAAGAGTTTCTCCCACCGCTTGGTCTACTGAAACCTCTTCGTCCTTGTTGGAAATCGGAGCTTCAAGAGTTTCTCCCGCTTCTTGGTCGACAGAAACCTCTTCATCCTTTTTGGAATTCTGAGCTTCAGGAGTTTCTCCCACTTCTTGGGCTACATGAACCTCTTTTTCCTTTTTGTTATCTTCCTGTTCAACCTGTGCCTTTTTGGTCCTCAATGCATTGCTAGCAGGGGATTTCTTTACAATTTTTTGCTTTACCTTCAAAACTTTTATAGTTTTCTTTTTACGCGACCCTTTTGCAATGCACTTTTCATTAGACTTTCCAGCTTCAGACGTGTTACCGAATTCAGTCGCATCTTCTTTCATGTCATCTACTTGTTCTGTAGGAGCTTCTTTTCTCTTACCTTCATGTTCTGTTGAGAAATTTTCTACATTTCCCTCGTCCGTCTGTTCATCAGGACTACCTACGTCCTTCTCTTCGCATTCAGGCAGAGTTGACTCTGCCTCCATATTTGAATCATGCTTCATGATCTACTCACATACACATAATGCCAGAGTAAAAAATATTGCAACATATCGTATTCCTTTTTCGAACTCTCTTGTCACATGAAGTAAGAAGGAGATGCAAAAATCGAATGATCAGAGTCTTCGATACAAAATTAAGGGTGCAGTAATGCAGATACAACACCAGTAATGGTGAGCCTTCCATCTTCTCTTAATAATAATAATGTGAATGTCCCGGTTGGCTTTTATCAAAGGAAGGCAAATTTTAGATGCTAAAGGAAAATAATCAAACAAAAACAAATGTTCACACATGATCTAAAGGAAAATAGATCAAACAAAAGCAAAAAGCCAAGAACAACAAAAAGGAGCGAAGAACAAAACGATATAAAAATAGCAAAAAGAGGACTCCAATTACTAAAATCAAGAATAAAGGAAAATCATATGAGGAAAAAAAAAAACTAATCAAAATTCTCAAAGAACTGCACTAAGCTCCAAACCTATAACTTAAGACCTCTAAATTTCCAGAAAAACTTCACTAACATGAAACACTACAGGTTATTGACCTAACTTACCGAGCGACAGTAGTTTGTTCTAATCCAAACTACGAATCTCTAACATAAATCAATGGTATTATACAATTACAAAACCCTAAATTCCGAACCAGAAGTTGCGTGCAAAGAAACATGCCAATAGAAAACATTCACACCAAAATACATTATCGATTTCCCGCAACAAAAACACCAAACATCAGGCAATTTCTACTCCATCTCAGTTCCCTTACTCTCCCTCGATAACCAATCGAAGTTGGAACAATAACTAGTCGACCGAGACAAAAGAAGGTAGAGATTACCTGGAAAGCCGACGAAAATGGAGAGAGATTTGAAAAGAGAACAGTAAAAACGATAATCTGGAAACTATGAACAATATAGAAAGATAGGGCTTTGGCTTTCCTTCGATTGTTCTTATAATTAAAATAAAATCTGTGACAGTGGAGGAAGAGAATTTTTACAGTTATATTTTCCATTTTTTCAATAAATATGAAATTAAAATATTGTTTTTGTCTCTCTATTTTAATTTTAATTTTAAAATTTTAATGTATGTAATTTCAATAAATCATAAAAATATATTTTTTTTTAATAATAATATTCATAAAAAAAAAACAAAATTTTAAGAGATACTAAATTGTCCCGAGAAGAATTAACAATAAATTAAAGATATACACAGAGTCCAGTTGAAAAAATCTTTTGTCCGAAATTGGTGACTCAAGCAACCAAATAGAATTCATAACCTAACCGAGCTAGAAAATAAAGCAACTAAATAGAGTTGACAACCTAACCCTAAATTAGGTTGTCAGTTTGGATGAGTCAAGAGTTCACAACCTAACCCTAGATTAGGTTGTGTCAGTTTTTTTTATTATTATTTTGAAAAATAATACTTATCTACCATATATGTTACACTATTATACTAATTATCTATCGTATATGTTACACTAATAACTAAAATTTTATAAAATTTCAATATTAAACCTTGTGTATCACTAACCTTAGTTGCAACTAATATCAGTTACAAAGATCTAATATTCTTAACTTTTATAATAATCTTAAAAAGTAGGATAGAGTTGAGTTGTAACGTGTTTTTTAGACTGTCAACCCTCAAATTGACCTAAATTTTTGGACAACCTAGCCCAAATCGAAAAAATCTAACTCAACTCAACATACGGTTGGGTTAGGTAGTCCAAATTGGTCGTAATCAATTCCATACTTTTTCTTATATCCCTTCACGACCAAATTGGTCGTAGTCAACCCCGTCTTTGCATCTCTCTTCGTCTTATATACCCATTTAAGACCGATGGGTTTTGAGCCTTGTGGAAGTGATGTGAGCTCCCACGTTTTATTCTTTTTTATGGAGTGAATCTCCTTCTCCATAGCTTTCTTCCACTTTTGCTCCTTATTTGCCTCCTCAAAAGTCAAGGGAAAACCTGCAAAAAGAGATAAAAATTGTTGAACTCGTACTCCCAAACAATTGGATCGAGTTCTCAGGTTATATGAACACCCCTAGTGTAGGTATATACATATGTACACAAACACATGCATATACACATACATACATAGATATATATATGCTAAACCTCCCAATCCAAGAGTCATCTCTACAACTTTTTTCTTCTTTCACGAGGATCAAAGGGAAAGGGGAAATCATTGATGCTTTCATCCTCAGAATAGCACAAAAAAAAGTCCCCTTCTTGGTATCCATAGGAATCATCGAGAGAAGAAGCTCAAAGGTCTTGAATTATCACCAATCAACCATGTGAACCATTGAGCCCAGAGGCAAAGAAACCCCTAAATCCAAGAGTCATCTCTACGGCCTTTTCTCATCTTTCATGAGTATCAAAGGGAAAGGGGTAATCATTGATTCTTTCATCCTCAGAATAGCACAAAAAAGTCTCCTTGGTATCCATAAGAATCACCGAGGGAAGAAACCCAAAGGTCTTGAATTGCCACCAATCAACAATGTGAACTGTTGGGCCCACAGGCAAAGAAACCAACATGCATTCAATCTTTTAATTTGCTTGGAGAGGTAAATTGGGGAAGAAGAGGTATATATATACTAAAACGAACTATGAGGAAGTTACCTTAACATAATGACTAAGTAAAAGCATTTGATTAAAATTAGGATAAAGCAATGATGAGTAAGTGTGTCCTTTACATCTTTTTTGAAAAATTGCATCCAATCAATAGTTTCGTCAGAGTCTAAGATTTTACCCATAAAAGAGGCAATAAATCATCATTTTCCTTCCTATTGCTACAACACTTTGGGCTCAATCCCCACATTGCTTATCAACTGCTGATCCCCGCTGCCATTGCCATCAATCAAAACTCTCTCAGACCTGTTTCTTCTTCTCCAGATTCGCAGCTACCACTCGTTGTCGCTTACGCCATGCAGGGATTTTTCCAGGGAACATCCATCTCAACAGTCTTTCCCAAGAGTAACAGCACACGAACATAAGAAGTGCCCATAACAGAAGCTTGTCTCTCAATCCCGCAGGCAATGGAACAAGTTTCAGCCAGTCATTCAGGTCTCGGAACAAATCTGAGGTAATAACGGTGAAGAAACCAACCGCAGCCAAGAGGGCGTATAAGAACGGTTTGTTTTCGGATACACTCTGGTTGAAGGGATGACCCATGTAGTTTACAGCAAAGGTAGCTACCTGAAGCATCATGCTTACCATGTACGAAACAGTGTTAACCAAGTTGGGATGAAAATCTGAGTCTGGCTCGATGCATTCGTCGGGCATGTGCTTTTCGGCTTCGTTAACTGAAGAAATCAAGAAAAAGAGGTGGATTGCAAATTGGCCTAGCAGGGAAAGGAGAACATAAGAGCAGAAGATATGTGGATGGGGCCGTTCAGCTGAAAGTGTTGGAAGGGGGCGTGCATGTGAGATGAAGAGGAAAAAGGCTGCTGTGAATACTCCACTGATTGTCGCTTGAATGTCGCCAAGCTTTACACCATCCAAATACATAACACTCAATACATAGGCTGTAGCGAGGCAGTTGAGACCGAGTATTTTAAACATCTGGAGAGTTGTCACTAGAGTACTTCGACCTTGGCGAATAATGTCGGTGGTCGGAGCAACAGAAGCATGCTTTGCTGTGAACGGCGATGCCATGGATGCATCCCCAAGCTTGACAATAGGGGCCGAGCGCCCATCACCCTCTTCATTTAACTCATCCATCAGTTTCTTTAGCTTTTGTCTTTGCATCTCTGCAGGTGTCCTTGAACGATTACTCGCTTGCTCAGCAACGGAATCCAGTTTCGAACTAACTTTGCTTTTTGAAGAACCTTCTCCACTTGTAAGTGCTTTTCCTGATGATTCGGATGAAGGCTTAGATTTCTTCGACTTTGCAGACCGTCCCGAGTCGTCTTTTGATGCTTCTGAAGGAGAGTTCCCAGTTTTAGGAGGGGGGACTGCGTTTAGAAGAGCAATTCCTACATGAGCCTGATAAACAAGGAAATATTAAGCGTTATATATGGAAAACATTCATCTCAAACATCATGTAAAATGTTCTAGCATAAAATCTAAATATAAGTCAATAAACATCTTAAGACAAAACCTGCTTCAAAGCTCCAACATCATTTGTTCCATCCCCGCACATCAATGTCATTCTTCCAACTGTTTTGAAAGTGGTCAATATGAGTTCTTTCTGCTCTGGAGCAACTCTAGCGAAAACCTGATAGAACAGTTCAAATGTATGGCATCAAGATGGCATCATTGCGAAAAAAACAGTATTCTTGCGAAAGAGAAAGATCGAGGACCTTAACGTATGGAATAACATCGAGCACAGTGGAGGTGCTTTGCAGCATTCCAATGCAGTCACCACCAATACACAGATCGTATGTCTCCGATAAATTCCCCACCTCTTTCTCACTGAGCAAATATATATGAGGGAAAAGAAATCAAGTAAATGTAAACACTAACATATATAGGGAAAATAATGTAAATCAGCACGGTTGAGAAGCAAGGGGAAAAAAGTAAACTCAAAATGAAAACATTCAATACTTATAAAATTCACCTGTAGGGAACTGTCTGTAACTCATCTGGGGAGAGCCATTCATATTCCTCAGTTCCCTTCTTCGAATTGAGAATTAAAATCTGCTTTGAGGTAATATGAACTTGGCTAGCTACGTGGCATGCCGTTAAAGCTTGGTCGCCAGTAATCATTACCTGATACAACAAAAAAACATGTATTTCATACTTGCCACTTGTTTCAAATAAACAAAGATAAAAATGAGCTGCACTGAAAGAGTTTCAACTAGGAAAAGCTGCAGTCATGAAAAGAAACGGCAAAGAATAAGAAATAGATTGCAAATATGGAAAATAAATTACTAAGCAGATAGCAGAATCCTATAAGACATAACTATGCCTACTAGAATGTCGTGATAAATCAATCGAGTTTACGTTAACTGATATAAATAGAGTGACAAAGGAGGGAAAGTTTTCAAGAATCAAAGAAAATTATAATGGCCAAGGTTAGCATCCAGATAAATTTTAAAATTTTTAATGATGTGAACTAGCAAATTGGAATTGATTCTATGTACCATTAGATCAATTGATATGTAATCGTACACTTGGAACAACCGTGGGTTGACACTCAATTATGTTTGTTCTTAGTATACCGATGTTTTAAATTTTCAGGTTTCAAGGATTCACAATTCTGAATTTCAAAGAATACCAAGTCAGATACTTTCACTTCTATTGATGATTCTATATCATCAATAGAATCTGAGTATACTGATGTTTTAAATTTTCAGATTTCAAGGATTCACAATTCTGAATTTCAAAGAATACCAAGTCAGATACTTTCACTTCAGAGTACAGAAACTAAAGAACCTAGTTCGGTTTCACAAAGAAGACTCGTTTCTTACTAAATTGACGATGAAGCTCGTATATCTCACTGACATAGTAAACCAATAAGTATTTTCTATAAGTCATAACTAAGTGGCAATAATTAGGCTTGGATAAACTGTACCAAGTCATGGGATGATCCTTTAAGCTCAGATAAGACTGTAGCCGAATCCGCTCTAATTGGACAATTGAACACCTGAAATGTAATTGATAAACATTAAACAGTAGAAAATAGGGACAAAAGAACAGAAAAAATAGCTCTCACTGCAAGCTGAATATTTAGTGAGAGTAAAAATTGGGAGAATCAATTAAGCAGGAATAAGAGTGGCGTTCAGAATGAATAACAAGAGAGACTATGATCGAATATTAAAAAAGAAATAAGAGAGATCAAGTCCCTGATTACCGCAAAACCAGCAAATATAAGGTCACTCTCCACCAAGTCCCTATCCAGGCCTCTAGCTTCACTAACCTACAATATTGGAAAGATAAAATAGAAACCAAGGTAAATGAAGCATTCAAACGATGAAACTATAGATTTATGTCATTACATTTAAAATTACATAATATTGATGAC